CCCCCGTAGCTTCCAGTGTATTATTAGCCCTTGTGGCTAGGCTACTGCCCACATTTTTGGATCTTTTGGCCGCAGAAACCTCCACAAGGCAACCGCAAATGGTTCGCAAAAAAGCGAAAACAACACATAACGGTATCACCCACACTCGTGCAGAGATACACTACCACACATGAGTGTATATGTGTTTGTGAGGTGGGGCCACTATTGAGGGGGGAAAGATGAAGCCGCTGCCACTGCCGACGTTGACTGTGACGTCTGCGTTGACGCTGACGTTGACGCTGGCGTCGTTTGGCGCGAGCTGAACGCGAAATCGAATTGAGTTTTCAGTTTGTGTCGCGCCTCCGTTTTGTAAATACGCGAAAGACATACGTCGGGAAGAACAACAACAATAGCAACAACAACAATTACAGAAACAACTAACTAATAAAAACGGAAACAGCGGGTAGACTACAATAACATGAGACACACTGTGTTCCTGCAATTGGATTAATTAAGCAATTATAAATGGCAGGAAAAGCGACAAACCCAAAATGAGAATGAAAATGAAAACCCAGTCCTGAAAAATTGTTAAATTGGACATTAGCGAACTAGTAGAAGAATTAAATCAAATGTTTATGTACCATTTATTAGCGGAGGTCTAGTGACGCACGATCTCATAAAATATATTTTTAGGATTTTCTCTATTTTTTTTATATAATTTTATATGATAGCTGTGGCCGTTGCTCATTTATGCCAATTAATTTGGTTGCGATTTCTTTTAATAGCCCACTGGGGTAAATATTAATCATACGCCCTGTGGTACGCCTCAGTCCTGGATTCGATTGATTGCTGAAGAATATTCTGAACCAATCCTTTGGCTTGCTTATTTCTTGTGCCCCAAAAATATTTCCAATTTAAAAAAAAAACGAAAAAAATAGAAATATTTCAAATCTTTTCAGAGCAAATCTCAAATATTTATTTTTATAAAACTTTGACATTGGATTTGTCATTGCTGGTGGCGGCTGTTTTTGCTCGCATGTCCACGCCGCGTATACGTAATATTTCTATAATTCTTTTGCTCGTCGGCATGGTTCTTGAGGTCTCTTTCGAGCAGAGTATTCTCTAATTATTACAATAAATTTTTACAAATTCTAAAACACAATTCTCCGCTGCCACTAGTTTTCATTTTCATTTAGTTTGTTTGTTTGTCTCTCTGTGTCCATATTAGAAGCGAAGCGTTTTTTTTCAAAATTTGTTGCACAGACATAAGTAGCACAAGCACACCAGCACCAGCACCAGTACACGGATTAAAAAACACAACAAAAAAACCAAACACACACACACCACCACACACACATATCTAAAGACACACAGATACAGAGGCTAAAAGCAAAGAAACATGTCTAAGGTTTGCCAACGAGAATAGTCATAAATAAATGAGTCTGTTGGTGGTTGTCATAGTTTGTAGACCATAAGTCTAGTTTTTACGGCAACGGCTATTCAATAAGCACTCATTCATTCGCTAAAACATACATACATAAACATACATATATGTATTTAGTTTAATATTTAGAATTCTGTTGCACAATTGCATTGTGCAGTGTAACTGACTGACTGTCCCCCACAAAAGTCGACGCCTTTGCTGCTCTTTATTCATGCTCATTGGACGCAACAATGCCGCACTGTCCACAATTGCCAGTGGCATCCATTATATGCCTCGCTTATGTGGTTCTGGGTCCTACCTCACAGCATGTTGTGAACCATGTATAGCATCGCCTCTTTAATAGTCCATTATCACTGTTTTTTTCTGGATTTTACACTAAGAATTTTGAATCTTAGGTATCCTTAGTATTCCAAAAAGAAATAAGCAAGCTAAAAGCCAAAAGCATTAAATACAAAAAAGCATAGAAATCTTCTTTAAAATAAATTTCAAACCAAATAAAAGGCCCAATTAGAAAATCTTCAAATCATTCTTGACAAACTTTTCATTCGATTCCCCTACAAGCTTAATTATTCCATAAGAAAATTGGATTACTATTTATAAATTTATATTTTTCGAAAAGCATAAAATGGAAAAGCCTAAATCAAAAAAAGCATAAAGAAGCATAGAAATCATAGCATTCTTCAAAAACATAAACTTCATATGTGTCTTTCCTTATGTTTTTTTATAAAGGCTTTTATATTTCTTAAGAAAATAGTGTTTTTAAGGAATACTTTTTTAAACGCATAATAAACAAAAAGCAGAGTACCAAAAAGCACAAAATGTACCTTACCATCAGTGGAGCTTCTGAAAACCAAAAGTAAAGGACTGCTTTTCTTTCTTGGTTTTAAAGTAATGTTTTTAACTGCAATCCAATATTAAATTCCAAATGAATAAATGGTACAAGTTTCTAAATTTATATATTTTTTGTTAAAATGAAAAAAAGCATACAAAAACATAAATACTTTAAATACCAAAATGTTAAAAATAGTTTCTAAATTTTGTCTATCACTATTACAAGATTAATAAACCTAATAATAAGGTGAAAATGTCGGTTAATTAGATTTCATTACCCAACCTCCCATGTGCTGTACATACTACGTCTCATCTTGCCCCACCCTGCACACCTTGCCCCACCTACCTGCCCCGTTCGGCCGCACCAATTGTCGTCACCTAATCAAGACCTGCATTTGTCATGATTCCCATAAATGTTCGGGTTTTTTTTTGTTTTGTGTGTTTATTAGCGAGTATTTTGATAAGGAGCCAAGACTTTAAAGTCAACAGAAGAGGGTGTATGTACATACGTGGGCCCAGCGAAAAGCAATACCATCCAATCAGCCGTTTCCAGACCGCAGAGTCAGCCCATCCGGGAGGGGATTGGATTCAATTTTCAATTCCAAATCGATTTCCGCTTAAAATGTCACAGCGGAAAAAAATAAAAAAAAAAAGTCGTGCAGCTCCGCCCGGGAAAAATGGCAATATGACGAAGGGTTGGATTGGGAGACTGCTTGTCCATGGCCATGGCCAATCCCAGGGCTACTAGTTGGCTGGGCGCCGACTCCGCGTCTGCACAAAGGTCACGGCCACACGCGCCACCTCTCCAAGTTCACCGCCGGCTTGGCTCTGGCTCTGGCCCTGGCCCTGGAAAAATGGCCATAAACAAGTTGCACTTTTTCCCATCAAAGGGGAGAGGGAGCGATAGGGTTCCGGTGGGGTTAGCAAAATGCCATCCAGTAAGCTGGCTGCATGATGAAAATTTCACTTAACTTACACAGTTGTATGCAAATTCATCGACAGCTTTTAAAATGGTGCACTCGAAAGGCACTCCGCTGGGTTTTATTTATTTTTTATGAGGACAGTACTTTAAACAAAGTGTAGTTTATAGTTTATAGTTTAAGTAGTTTCTAAAGATTAGTTTTTGTAGATCTTGACAAGACTTGGGGGTACATTTTGCAAGTGTATCCTATATTTTGTAGCTCTCATTATAACGACATTTGTATGCCACACGTTGACACGAACTGGGCGCCAATGCTCGTTATCTTTTTCTGTTTTGACACCTGAGTTCTCCAGGGGGGTTGGAGCCTGCCTCCAGGTTCCTTCAGCTGACTGGCAGCCACCCAAGAGCTCCGTCAAGTCATTGGCTCGACATTCAGCTGGGGTTTTCGGGTGAATAATACTTATGGAGTGGATCGTTATCTCATCCACGATCCATGATCGGCTGGCCAATTGCTTGGTTCACCTTATAATTGTGCTTTTTTTCGGTTTAATATTTATTTTTAAATGTTTTCTTCCCCTACCCGCTGCTTTGTTTACAATATTCGTGCGTACTTCATGCAATTTTTGATTTGGCATGAAACAGGTTTTGTTTAGACAATAAAAATTAATGAGCACCGCCGCCATTCATTTGAAGTCGTTGGTTGAAAAATGCTAGCTTTGGATATTTTCGTTCAAGAGGTTGCGGTTGGTCGAAGAAATCCAATCAAGTACAATTATTTATATGGAATACAAAATATTTATTAGCAGCTTTGATGTGAGAAGAAATAGGGCTATCAAAGCTTTAAATAATATTCTAAAATTCAAAAAAATATTACAAGTTGTTTATTTTTAAATGGGCTTTCCCTCTAAAACCTATACCCCATTCAGGAAAACAATAAATGGGTTTCATAGAGACTTAGTCATTTCTTTCCTAAAAATAAACAAAAATGCTGCATTTCTTTATTTTGTGATTAATTGTTTTTCGAGATGTGAGGCTATTTTCGGGAAAAAGCACCCATAAATGCCAGAAGCCGCCACTTGCAGTTAAATTGAGTGACAATTTAATGCAACTTAATCAGCATCTTGGCCAGCTGGCAATTATTTCAGCTCGACCGCCTTGACGTCACAGGGATGGACGGGCGCTGCAATTGGGCAGCTGGAACTAAACTTTGCGTGGTCAGAATTTGAATAAAAAGGGGGCGGTGGTTGGGAGGTGGCAGTTAAGGAGGGGAGGTTGCATGCAACAACTTTAAATGCAAAGCTCTTCAGCTACCCGGGATTGGAGCCTGAAGCTTCATGATTTCCATTAGCGGAGGAGGTGGTTGAGCTTTCCCGGGTGCGACGCATCTGCCTGCCACTTGACGCATGCAGGAAAATAACCACTGGTTGCAGTGGTGGCAGGTGGCAGGTTGAAAACTCCTTTTGAGAGTGACGAACATTGCCGCGGGAGTTTATTATTATTATTATAAAGAAAGTGCTTTTAGAAGCCATATAGTATTCTTTTTGAAAGGTTTTGGAATTAAAGGTAGAAGGTCTTAATTCAATATTTAATTATTAAAATTTGTATTAAAATAGTTCTTTAAATTAAAGATATCTTAAGCTCAAGACCTATATCTTAAAAGTATTCCCTAAACTGGTCTACAAACTATTCCAAACAGTAACTGCTATACAGACCTTAAACCCAAATCTGATTAAAAATCAAATAATATTAAAACCCTTATAAGAATAATGACCCGATAAAAGCCAGCTATATACTCAACATATGGTTTATTTTTATCATCGACAGGAACAAGTCAAACTGGATGCCAGTAGACAGGTAATCAGCCCCGACGACGCCGAAGATCTCAGCCCGATGCCACAGACAGCAGCTCCGCCCGTGCGCCGGCGTGGCGGCATTTCCGCCGAGCCCGTCACCGAGGAGGACGCCACCAACTATGTCAAGAAGGTGGTGCCCAAGGACTACAAGACAATGAACGCCCTGTCCAAGGCCATTGCCAAGAATGTCCTGTTCGCCCATTTGGATGAGAGCGAGCGATCGGACATCTTTGATGCCATGTTCCCCGTGAATCACATCGCCGGCGAGAACATCATCCAGCAGGGGGATGAGGGTGACAACTTCTATGTCATTGACGTGGGCGAGGTTGATGTGAGTAACACCTAACACCTCTACTTGTTACTTTACTAATTACCTTATTGATTCACAGGTTTTTGTCAACTCGGAACTGGTCACCACCATCAGCGAGGGCGGCAGCTTCGGAGAACTGGCGCTGATCTATGGCACCCCTCGGGCTGCCACCGTCCGGGCCAAGACCGACGTCAAGCTGTGGGGCATCGACCGCGACTCCTACCGCCGCATCCTGATGGGCTCCACCATCCGCAAGCGAAAGATGTACGAGGAGTTCTTGTCGCGCGTCTCCATTCTGGAGAGTCTGGACAAGTGGGAGCGCCTAACAGTGGCCGACTCGCTGGAGACGTGCTCCTTCGAGGACGGCGAAACGATTGTGAAACAGGGAGCCGCCGGCGATGATTTCTACATCATTCTCGAGGGCTGTGCGGTGGTGCTGCAGCAGCGCTCCGAGGTAAATGACCTCTCTTAGATTTCTGGAGAAGATTAGCTTATCAAATGGTTATCTTTAATCTCATAGCAGGGCGAGGAACCGGCCGAGGTGGGACGTCTGGGTAGCAGCGATTACTTTGGCGAGATAGCTCTGCTTTTGGACCGACCACGGGCGGCGACTGTGGTGGCCCGCGGGCCGCTCAAGTGCGTCAAGCTGGACAGAGCGAGGTAGGACTTACTAAGACCATATAGTACTATATACTGATCCTGATACTGATCTTATTGCAGATTTGAACGTGTTCTGGGACCCTGCGCTGACATTCTCAAACGCAACATCACGCAGTATAACAGTTTTGTATCGTTGTCCGTTTAAGCCACAACGACAACAACAGCAACAACAACCACAACATAATAGCAACAAACAGCAACAGCTAAACAACAACAACAACAACATCAACAACAACGCAGCGAAAGGATACATCAACTTGAAGACGAAATAAGTGAATGGAAGGATAATAGATTGATGGATAAATAAGATACAAAAAAAAGAAATAATAATAATAATAACGCTCAGAAGGATCTGTAAACCAATCGTAAACCCTATAAGTGTGGTTAGGTTATTTGCTCGATTCTGGTTCAGAATCCGCGGGCTGGAGCAAAAAAAAACTAAAATGTTAATTAATTGATTCTGTATGTTGTGCTGAAGTTACATTTGTATGTGTGTGTCTCTGTGTAAAGGTTGCAACGGCATGTTCCCGTTACAACTTTCTCCTAGCCCTTCACTTTCTTCGCAAAGGTCCTATCTTTCCTTCCATCGGAACATGCTGGCTCCCTTCAAAGGAAAACAAAAAAAGAGTTTCAAGTTCTTTTCAATATCCAACTGACATCTGAATGTTTTGAAGATATTTAAGAAAAAAAAAAAGAAGATAAGGAAATTAATAATATATATGTGTAATTGTACAACAACAACAACCACACACAGGCACAAAAAAAAAAAACACAGACACACACACGCCAACGCCAACCTCATACACTCTCATACGATCGATCGATAAAGTCAAGAATTGAAAAATCGGGAAAATTGTATTTCGCTTTTGTTGATAACTGATAAAGAAGAAGAAGAACAACATCTACAATCTTATTACATAATTTTAGTAAATTATTTTTAAACCTAAAGCTTAGCACAAGAAGTCAGCGCGAGTCAGAGAGAGAGCAGTCGACTGCCAGGCATTCACATGAAAAATATTTAATTAAAAAACCAATTAGCAAATGATTTTCAAAATGTTTATTGTTTCTTCATCACCTAGTTTTATAGTTTTATGCTTTTTGTTTTTTTTAGTGACTAATTGAAGCTTCAAAACAAATTTCAAATCAAAAAAACCAAACTGTTGCATGAAAACTGGGCATTTCCAACAACTGCCAGCTTTTGAAAAATATTTTGAAAAACAAAAACAACAAATCTAATTAACAGAAAATGTGGGTGTGTGTGTGTGTGTGCTGGGCGAGGGTGCATGTGTGTGTGTGTGGAAGGATACCAAGCTTATTACCCAAACGAGAAGTTGCATTTACAACACCCCGAACAGAGAACCGAAATATCAACCGAAAAAAAAGATCATTTTTGTGTGTATATATATATATTTTTAAAATCTGATTCGATCATGGCACTATTAAGAGCTGTTGCTGCATCACAAACACACACACACACTCCCATTCGCACACCCAAACACACACGCATTAATAATAACTAACAAAAAAAAAAAGGTTAAGGGTTGAGCCTAAGGATTTTTTAAGGGGTTATGCGCAGTGTGCAGACCACGCCCACTTTTGGGTGTCGAGCGAACCCGCCGGCGGGTTACAAAATACGGAAGGCAAAAGAAGAGCTAAAAAAAAAATAAAAAACTAACTTTAAACTTTAAACTTAAAACTGGAAAGTCGAGCGACAAACCGAATGCAGATACAGATACAGATACATATGCGATGTGCGATATGAGATATGAGTTACGAGATATGAGATATGAGAAATACAATTAATTACAAAAACATAATAATATTATCAATGTAAAATCGTATGTAAAGAATAAACAAACCAACGGCAGAAACTAAAAAAAACTGACAACAGAAACAAAGTAAAAAAAATAATGAAACAAAAAAGAGAAATTAAGAAATAAATACATTTACATAGATGTTGCAAAAATCAATAGAACCGCGTGATCAATGGATCTATCGTCTTGCCCCTTTTCCTCGCCTCCGCTTCCGCTTCCGCTGTTGCTACCACCTCCATTGCCTCTGATCCTCTATAGATTTGTGTATCTTGTCAGTTAGCTAACAAGCTCGCCTCCCGGATCAGGTACTGGGTATGTTGCTGGACGCCATCTTCTTCCTGCCCACACTGTTCACCTACCTGCTCATCCTGCTGCTCATCTGCATCCTGTGCTTTATTGTCATCTATATCAGCCACAAGATCTACATCTCCATCTACGACAACCTGCCGCTGCCAGGACACTCCCGCCAGGCGCTCGTCCGTGCCTCGAACCATGTGATGACCATGCGCAGCTTCTTCGAAGGATCTCGCATAGCTCGCTCCAATCAGGGCAGTTTACGCTCTCTCTGGATACAGAATCGCTCCCAGATTCTGGATACGTCAACTGGTAAGATCTCGGGTGGAGGGGTTAATACCAAGGGTTAGATGGAAAATAGATTGATTTTCATAGTTAGTTGGTTTATAGAAAAGGGTGGGTTACCAAAGGCTTTTTTAAGAAATCTTCATAGGATATTATATGTTTTCTATATATGTTTCCGGTTTACTTAATATTCTAATTTTTATTCTTTATTAATAACTTTAAATTGATTTTTAACTTTAACTTTTGAGAGAGTTTTAACTGAAAACAAAAATAATTTAGAATAAGAGTTCAGTATAGAGTTCAGAGCTTTTTTAAGGTAAACTTTTAATTCTTTTTTTTCCAAATTTTGTTTAAAGAACTGAAAAAGTATATATTTCTATAACTAGGTTATGCAAAACAAGATAACTAGTTAGCAAAAACAAGTTTTAGGCTTGCAAATTAAAAGCTTCAACTTCTGTTTAGAATTTCCGCTTCCGGTATTGACCCCTTAAGTTCCCAAAATTGGCAAATTCTTCAATACTCTTTCAATGCCCTGCCCCCTAGTGTTAAGGATTGTTGTAACGCTGGAACCCTGCTATCTGGTAAGCATCGAGTTCGACGTGAGTCCCAGCCGCCGGGCAATGAGCTTCCTGTGCACCTGCGACCGGGATGATACCGCTTGCTGCGCTGTGGAGCCCCGGCCCTCGAACTCGGTTCACATCATCCGGTATTTCGATCACCTCTCCAAGGTGCCGCGCCTGAAAGTCATGCTTAAGTGCAACCAGAGGCGGACGGAACAGCGCCGCGACAGCCAGGCGAGGATGACCCTCGACGAGGTTATCCAGGAGGCCAAGGAAGCTCAGTGCACGGATCCTGGAGCCGCATGCCGGCCGCCAAATGCGCGTCGATCCAGCCGGGCGACGGCACCGGACTGAGGAGGGGGGATAGCTTTATCAGGGAGGACTTTATTAAATGTGCCTATTAACCGGCTGCTGTGATGTGGTAGAACTCGTTTTATTGTGTCGTAGCCAAAGTCCAGGTGGGGGCTTCAGGGTTGCCGGGCGGGTCAGTGGGTCGGGCACTGAGATCACGCCAAGCTATGAAAATCGCGTGACAACGAAGGTGAAAGTCAAATCGGTGGTGGTGAGGTGGACAGGGGCGTAGGTTTTCCCAAAAAAAGTTAGATATCAAGAAAGAGGGGGGGCTATAAAGTTTAGATTTTCATTATCCATAGGGGCTTATAGACTTTTAATGATACTTTGATAGTCCCAACAAAGTTAATAGGCCATATGTATAAACGTATCACCCTCAAATAAAAATCTGAAAAATAGATAAAAAATATACCTTTTTCTAGAGATATTCCTCTAAAGACTAATGATATTGAAAGTTTATAACTCAAGGCCCTTACAAAAATCAGAAAAATGTGTGGAATTCTATCCAAAAACTATATATACTCTTTAGCACACCCGTGGCTTCTAATCTTTTTCGTGGGTGAGCCCATAGTGTCGTGTTTTTCGGGCCTTATCATTGTGACTGCGGTATTTGTTATCAATTGATAAAGTGCTGTCCAGACCGCTGGTATCGCGGCTAATTGCCAAATCACAAGCCCCCACCCAGATCTCGCCACCAGGAACGGCCGAGAGACCCCAAGCAATTTGTTTGACGCCATTTCATTCTTTATTGACGCGGCCAATTAAGACGGCAGCGTTGTTGATTTGATTGCAAGGCTGGATCGAATGTGGCTGGAATTCCATATACCATATTACGAGTTAAAAATAAAGCTGGGCTCCCGATCAAGTTGCCAGATGGAGAAAACGATAAAGGGCATCAGAGGGAGGAGGAATAGCTCGTCTAATTTAATCTCGACCAGAGCTACAGACTCCCATTGCACAAGAAGCTTATCAGAGTATTAGGCGCCGCCGCCATCCAAACAGAGACCCGATCGGACAACATCAAGAACAGTCTGGCAACGAAGCGTATACGTAATGCGACGAAGCACACAGTTCCATTCAGTTCAGTTCACTTAACTCGTACGCTGCTCAGTTCTCAGTTCTCGGGCAGGTGTCAAGCGACGCACACACGAATCGCCGACAACGCGCTACTATTATTAACAATTCCAGAATATCTTATATGCTATATGCTACATGCTCGAGTGCCTAATTAGCATACGCGTTTCAGGCCGTCAGCCTTTCAATACCTGAGCTTTATCACTCAGTTGGAATACACAACAACCGAACACACGGCGACACACTCTTTGATTTTTTTTTTGGGAAAGCGAGTACAAAGTCACACAGATTTTGGAAAAATATATACCCCCTCGTTTTAATATTGTGGACAATCATGCTGGATCCCATTTCGGATACCCCGCTGGTCTTGGCCTATGCCTTCATGTCGCTGCTGGTGCTCATTCTGTGCTTTATAATGGTCAATGTGGTCCACAAGCTCTATCGCAGTCTCAACGACCAGACATCGCTGGCCGCAACGAGTCCGATTTCCACACAACAGCAGCAGCAACTATTTCTGAAGACCTCCATCATGGAAGTAGACGCCATGAAAACCGGTTAGAGGAGGTGGACGGATGGAATCAAGGTGCAGCTGCTGTGAGAATCTCTCTCCAGTTTCATTTTCGGCCGATCGAATCGGATTTGGAATCGGAATCCGAGGCCTGCCAGCTGCACGCCCACTGCTTCGCACACATCTAGACAATATTTTAATGATAATAATATAAGCAGAAGCAATTAGACGTAAATACCACTAGACTTTAAGTACCGCCTGGTCTCTAGTCACTTAATTGTTCATATCGTCCTAGGGTTAGGTTAGCCATACGATGATATTGTATTGTAAATAAAGTAATGTGAACGATAACTAAAGCGGCAATTAAGCTAGATTGGGGGCAAGTACAAAGCACTTAAGAGAGTCGCCTGATCGATACGCAAAATGTCTTATCGTTCCGTTCCACCGTAGACATCGTAATTTGTGAGTCAATCAAAATTGGTGATAAGAATTGGGTTTCGGAAGAGCCGGACTTAGTCATAGATTTATACATAGTTTATTTAAAATAGCATGTTCATCTATAAATTTTCAATAAGAGCGCAGTTTCATGTTGTTATAGCTGGATGAGTATCAGCATTTAGGCCCAGGGCCTCGCCGCTGCGACATGATGTACATTATGTGGGAAATGATTTTTTTGGGAATTGGATGATGAGCTTTGAAATGATAGCAGCAAACTGCTGGTGGATCTACGGCGGTGGCATCATCAATCTGTGGGATCGCTGCAAATCAAATTACTATTAATTATATATTCTGTTTTTGATATTTTAATCGAAAATTACCCCGAGAAAGTCTTTGGATGCTGCGACGTTAGGTCATCATCCTGGCTGCCAAGAGCCTTTTTCACATACTGCCAAATATTTGAAAAATTATGAAATCTATAAATATATTGGAAGATTCTTTAATACATACCAAGGGGTTTAATATAATCTCCTCTTCCATTTTATTAATTTGCTTAACTAGCTCCAAAACCTGAGAAATATTCGTTTGCACGTTGAGGAACATGTCCGGTGAGTTGTATTTTTCAGGATCGTCTTTGAACAGTACCATGCCGTCCTTTTGATTGATGCTGGCATAGATTTCACCTGATTTTATCTATTTAATGGAGAATCGATGAGTTTAAGTCGGAGATTAATTAATATATATTTCCTTACCATATTAAGGATATAACGTTCTGCTTCGGCGGCACTGGATAGCTGGACACGACTAGCTACATCGCTTAGAGAAAGCGTCAAAAAGGTTTTCGTTAGCCGCTGGATGTTTCGCTTGTAGAGGGAGGTGGCAACCTGAAATAAATTGAATAATAAACTGGTTACGAAATAAGGTCAATGTAAGGCTGCCTTTCATAGTAAGATTAGGCCGGAAATATAAATGTATCACTTTCTGATTGTGATTGTGTATATCAACCCTTTATAGGGTTATCGAAAAGTCTTGTTGTTGCATTCAAAAAAGCAATAAAAACATGATTTGCGAGGTATGGAAACTACAATTATGACTTGCCAGTTATATGGTTTATTCGGTAATAATGAAAGCTGTTATTAAAATCACGCTAATTGTCCATGGCTTGGTTACACTTTCATAAGAGAAATAAAAGCATAGGTTTACTTGTTACTCGAGTTATAATCATACTAATTATAGACAATCACAACTTTTTTTTAGATTTAAAAAGTAAAATTCTAATAATGGCAAATGATTAATACTTGCCTGCTTCGCTAGTCCCATATTGTTATCACGCGTAAATGCTTCACTGTACTTGAGGATGATGATCCGCAGCTCTTCGCTGGACGAATTGGCGTACACATTGACCAGGTCGTGGTAGTGATTGGCCATCGGCTTCATAAAGCGTCCGATGACCTGTGTGTTTTTTGGTATAAACGCTATCTGCAATGCATACATTTTTCGATTAATCAGAAGATATAGAGATGCCCCCATGGGGTTATATAAAAGTCACCTTGCCCTCTACGATGAGTGAAACCATGAGAAACTTTTTGTAGGCCTCCAGCATGATGTGTGACATGGCCATTGCCGGGGTGGTGATGCACACCTCGAAGAAGTAGAGAGCACGCTCGTAGTTCTTCAGCGCCGTGTAGATCATTCCACCGTAGTAGTAATACAGCAAGAAGTACTTGGCATCATTGTTGGCGTCCTAGGGGAAGAGATGATAGATTCAGTTAAGAAGTAAGATCTTGATTCTTATGGTCCTTACTGTGTGCTGGTTCTGCTGTTGCTGTTGTGTTTTGCACTCGGCGGCAACGGTAGATATATCTGTGATGTCTGCATCCAAGTAAGGCATAACCACGCTAAAGTTTTTCGCCTTCAGGCTGAGCAGGCAGAGATCGGCGTGGATGGGCGTAAGCTGTGTGTCCATTTGTCGGATTTGGTCGATGGCACGGGACAGGATGCGTATGCCCAAGGCACTCATGCCCTTCTGCACCAAAAAGTCCGAAAACAGATGGCACGTTTCGTAAACTGTGTGGAGAGTTTAAAATTAATGCGTTTCTAATTAAAATGAAGAATATTGCAACCCACAGGCGCACACGGCAAAGCGAAGCTGGTCAGTATTGTGCCGCTGGACAAAGTCACGCATTAGCTGGATAAGCTGCACCGGCTCCGGGTTCGCGGTGGATGAGCTGTGCAGTTTGGCCAGGAGCACATAGAGAACGCCCAGCGTGTGCTGCTGCATGTCCAGCGTTTCAAGGACATTGTCCAGGATGCTCCAGTTGCGGGCCAGCAAGGACAGAGACTCGGGCAGCTCGTCGGCCAGTTCCCGGTAGCTTGCTGAAAGATATCCGGCAGAATGAAATTTGCACCAAAAATAACAAAACAAAGGCGGCGGCTTTGCCGGTTTGATGCTGCACGCCGGCCTTCCTGGCGGCCGGATTGAAAACTTACCGGAGGCACTCAGCGTGCGCACCTGATTTACATAGTTTTCCAGCGCGCTGCCCATTTTAGCGAGTCTCCGCGACAGTGTATTTATATTATTTTGCGAAAATGTACACGCTAATTCCTATTGAAACAGTGTTGCCAAATGAGTTATAATTCGCTAAAAAAAACTCTAGAAATTTGGTATTCTGCAATAAATATACTGCGGCTACTCTGAATTTGCAATCAGCTGTTAAAAAAATACCGAAAGGAATAGGTGGCGCTGTTAACTATCGAATGCCATCACTAGCGGCGAATCAACTGGGTTTGTTTTGATAAATTGTTTTTGGGAAATGGAAAATTCTCCCCGCATTGTTTACGTCTGCAGCTTGTGCTTGCGCCAATATGATCTTCTGGAGGATTTACGTGGCCACATGGTGTTCTTCCACGGCTGCCAAGCGGTCTCATCACAAATTGGAAAAAAGAAATCGCCAAAAACAAAGCAGAAGAAAACCGGAGTAGGTCAGGACCAAAATATATCAGAAGAGCCAATAAATGACCCGGAGGATTCCCCAAAGGAGCTGCAGCCTATGCCTTTCAAAGATTTTCGTTTGGTCTTGAGAGCCAACATGCTGGAACCGTCTGTATTTCCCAAGGATTCAGTACAATTTTTATAAACAAATTTATTTTAGATGCTCCTTTGGCAAGGAATGTACCTTTAAGTTCCTGGATGTTAAAAAAATGGAATTGCATTTAAGGTGCCACAAGGACAGCAATTTCGCATGCTGTGAGTGCGGAGTGGAGCTGCCCAATTGGAGGCGATGCTCTGCCCACTTGTGGAAGAGCCACCAAATAGATGTGGATTTGTTGGAATGTCCTGCTCTTGATTGCCATTACAAGTCACCAGTGTCTGCTCTGATTTGGCGGCACATGCGCGTCCATAAAAAGTGGCGACCTAGAGTCCTTCGATCCCTGGCTGCTGTTCAACGTAGAAAGAAACTGAAAGAGCAAACAGGAGACCTGCTTCCACTGCCGGTGACGCCTTCAACTGCTTCCAAGAAAAATAAATATTATGCTGAGAAGACCTGCGAGATTTGTAGCAGGAAATTCGTGAATGGTAAAACACTGTCCAAGCATGTAAAAACAGTACACAACAAGATAAAACCTTTTATTTGCAACGTTTGCGGCAAGAAGACCGCTCGCAAAGCCAGCTTAATAGTGAGTACCAATGCAGTTTACTATCCATCACCTTACTATCTTTCCTTCCTAGATCCACATGAGACAACACACTGGCGAAAAGCCCCTGCAATGCGGGGTTTGTAAGTTTTCTACCCGTGATCCCAGTGTTCTGCATAAACATAGGCAACGTCATGGCAGCCAGGATACTCAAAACAGCCTCAAATGCAGCCAGTGCGACTATCAATGTATCCAGGCTAATGCTCTGAAGCGGCACATGCGACTCAATCATCCTGAGGCCTATCGGGACTTGTGCTGTGACCTCTGCAGCTATACATCCATCAACGCAGAGAGATTACTGGCCCACAAGCAGGATCACCGGCAGGGCTTGATCGTTAACTGTGATGACTCCATGGATGCCACTGGCACCTCAGGTTTCAAGTACCCACAAAAGCCAGGCGATAAAAACGGCGAAGTATATTTATACAAAATTAAAATTAATATAGTTTTTTTACACAAAATGTAAAACAATTTCAGATATCGGCCGATTGTTTTATGCCACTAGAGAGTGTGGATTCCCTGCCACATGAACCAGCTGTAGATACCGGAGGTGTCACAATACCAGCACCACCCTCCGAGGATACTCAGTTTCCAACTTATTTAAAAGACTAGGCATCTAGAAAAGTATAAGATTTAAGTCTTGGGATAAGCCAGGGTTTTATATTTCTTCTTATGTTTATTCTTTTTATGAATGGGTTTATTTATTATATTTTATTTATATCTTACATTGGTCTACGACATCTTGGGTTAAAAGTGTGCGGGTTTCCGAATTGTGCTGTAAAGAGTGCTGTACAAAATAATGTTCTCATGCAGTTGGTTTTGGGGATTTGAATGCTCGTTTATTAAGTTTTTCAGTTTTTCCATTTAATTTTAATATCATTTTAGAATCTGATATGATTTTTGTTTTGTTTTTTTTTTTTTTTGCAACATTCGAATTATTTATTCATGCTAGTTTACCGTGTTCCGTTTTTGGGGTTTTTTTTTCATTACTATTATTAGGGTTTTGTATTAAACTAATTTAAAATTTAAAAATCTACTCTTGCGATACTCATCCGGTTTCAGTTCGGTTTTAAGATCAGAGCATAACGCACTCGCTCGCTTTAATAATCTAAGTTACGACAAGGGCAGTTTCGCAAATAACTGGTTAAGTCCGTTAATCATTTAGTTTAGTTAATTGGTTTAGTAGTTGGGCTTTACGTTTGCTTTAATTTAATTATTTACGCTTGAATGTAATCGTCGGCAGGCCATCCTAAAATGAAGTACCTCCTGCTCTCGTTAAGTTAGCTATTTAGTAATTGAATTAAGTTACCATCATCGGGCCACTTTGAGTTACAAAAGAATAGATTTAAACGTTTATTGTCTGAGTTTGATTCGAATATCAAAACATGTTCAGTGTTTTTCAAAGAGAAGTGCAACTGAGGTGTGCATTGCAGAATGGCAAATAAAACGCTCAAATGTAAAATTGTTAATATCATACAGCTTCTATTTGTTCTTTTTTTTTGTTTTTATTTACAGTTCTTAAACGAAGGAAGAGTATCAACAAAAATTGCATATCAACCGATTCACACTGTCTGTTGTGTTGTCTTTCGGAGTCCCTGATCCCTGCTCCCTCCATTTGGGCACCCGGTTGGGCGCATTGCTTTGCTATATTGGTTAGATCCCCGATCCTTAGATCTTGGTCTCAACGACGGCTTTTTTCTTCGACACACAAACGGGTTGTTCGAAAGAGAGAATACAAAATAGAAAAGGATTCGATTAAGTTAGCTGCCATTGAGCCGAGAGCCAACATACGAGGATTGCCATGCAAAGAATTGATTCTGATACTGATACTGATATTGGTTTGGTTTTGGTTTGGTTTGTGAAGGGAGCAGGCGCTAGATGATTGTGGCATGGTTGGTGGCATCTATGAGAGCGAACTGTGCACTTTTGGAGACAACAAACAACTTTAACAACAATGGGCGTGAGTTGAAAATGACTACGACTTCTGAATCTGAATACGACGAAGTACCCCTAAGTGGTTGGTTTGATTTAGCTTTGATTATGCTGATATTATCCATGATCACTACAACGTCTATTAAACAACTAACGAATTCATCTAGCTTCTATAAGTATATATATATGGGTTTATATATATATATATGTATATATATATATATATTGACATATCCGACTAACCGCTCTTATTACCCCCTTTCCTCTATCTGGCGACTAATTTACGTTTACGATGCATCCATCAATCTTAAAATGTAAAACATACTTCACTTACGATCTACGCCTGCCATTGTCGGTTCAATCTCCAGCTTCTCATCATTTTTATTAATTGGTTTTATTCCTCGACTTATTCTTGGTTTTGTGCGCCGCATAATAAATGCTGTGGGAGTTTCTGAAACATTCCCCGAAAAAATCTAACCCCTTCTATCATCCTATGATCCTATGATGCTATGATCCTCTGATCCATTCTGATCCTTTCCGCTTTTAGTCAGTTTGATTAGCATAGTACGATACACTTAAAGGCTATTAGGAAACAGTTGTATCTACATAGGTCTATGAGTACTCTGTAAGAACCAAAGAAACGAATCTAATGGAAGTTTTAACTAGTCAGAATTAGTCCTGTTTCTGTTTCTGGTCCTGGTCCTTGTTCTCGTTCTCGTTGCTGTCCTTTTGTGTTACGCAATCGTTCGTATGTACAGTGTGTGTGTGATTGTTCTTGGGTCAAGTTGGGAAATCATATCGAAAATACATACGAAAAACCCTAGGCCTAGAAAATTGCTTATAAAATTGCGCGACACTAAAAAAGAACATCCGAGTCATTCGAGTCTTGTGATCTATAAAATAGAGGTCAATACGAAATAGAATCAATGAAATCCTGCAAACTCTAGCAAAGGATCTCTCCTTCTCATCATCATCATCATCATCATTATTAACTTTCTTATAAATGCAGTTTAAAAAACAGGTGAACGATTTTGATTTTGGTATTGGTTTTGATTTCGAAAAAGTGTTGCCTTTTTGTTTGTTTGGGTTCGGGTTTGGTTTCTTGATCGTTTCATTGTTGCGTTTCGCAGTCGCGTTAGTTGTGGTTGTGATTTCTGTTTCTGTTTCTTGGTATTCTTGTTGTGGCGGTGTCTGTTCCGGGGCACAATTCTGCACGTTACTGGTCGTCGAGCATCAGACCGTGGTTACACGATCGATCTCCACGTAACGCACAGAATTGTCGCTTTGTCAGCAAATCACCTCCTTTTCATCCAACACCGCCGTGTCCATGGAGCTGAGTGACTTCAGTCGCGTCTGCAGCACCGAGGAGCCACGCAGCTTGCGTTTGATTTTTCTATAGGAAGGAAGAGAAAGGATTAAAAGGATTGAAACATACATTAACATAAACATTAACTATATTTAATCTAGGAATATGGAATCTTCTAATAAAATATTAATAAGATTTAATATAAATAGATTTTAAGATATAATACTTACTTGTAAGCAAAGGCAGCAAATGCACAACACGAGAGTACAAAGATTAGGCAAAGGGTGGCCAGGATTTCGGCTGGTAGCTTCATCAAAGCGGAGCACTGGAGGAAGGCTTCATCATCGCCGGACGGACAGTGGACGACGCCATCGCACCAGACACTGGCGTTCACACAGGCGCCCAGTTCGGCGCACTTGAACTGACAGTCCTCTATAAGATTGCCAGGATAAAATATTGAATAGGAATTCCTACAGGATGGAGGAAGGTAGGTTAGACTTACCCGCCATGCTGAGAGTGGGTCTGGGGACAAGCTCCATCCAGTTGAAGGAGTACTCCCCATTGCCGGGTCGCAGGAACTCCACGCTGATGGCACGAGATCGGTTGATGAGGGCAAAGTTGGGTCTTTCGTTCCAGCCCGAGCTAAAGATCTCCACGAACTCATAAGCACTCGAATCGGGACTCAGTGGGCAGGCCACAATGGTTAAACCTGAAATAAAATATTAATTTTTCAATTAAAAGATTCCCTTTTATTTTTAGAAAACGTCGCTTACCTTCCGACGTGGTTAGGACTGCTCTCGACTTGGTCTCACATCTCCAGGTGTCGGTATGGACATAGGTGGTGTTTAGGGTCTTCAGGGGATTGTGTTTGCTCAGGAAGATGGCCTTGAGACGGACATACAAGAACTTATTGCCATTGGAGGGTTCAATTAGCCAAGGTCTCGATCGGCATTCGATCTAGAAAAAGTATAAAATTATAAGCTATAGCTAAGGACTCAAAAACTATCAGGACTTACATCTCCAAAGGTCATGTCTATGGTGCCACTGGGTCCGAACTTCCTGCGTCCATCTTTGCAGCTGGTCGGAGCCTTTACAAACTCAAACATTCCCTCAAAGTTGACCGTATCGGGGTCGTCCAAGGTGGTCATGTTCTGGGCTATGAAATGGACCTCCACGTCGCGACTTGTGGAAGTATACTCCACGGGCAGGTGGGATTGGTTGGAGGAGTTGCACATGCAACCACGATGCAGCAGTATGGAGTCATGATAGGGTCTTTCAAAGATCTAGAAAGGGGTTTTTATTTAATTATAATAGTACTTCAATAGTTGTCAATAGTCCTACCTCTATTCTAACATTGGTATCTCCGTAGCAGAAGGACCTGTTGATGTCCTCGTCTACTTTGGAGTAACAAGGTCGATTGGTGGTTGTTACTTTTCGTAACTTGATCCTGACCCTTTCGCCCCTCTGGGCCTCAAACTTGTAGATACATTTAAGGTTCCTGGTGCCACCTCTTCCGAATAAAAATATATTCCGTACACTCCGGAAAATGGCAGGATCCTTGCGATCCATCATGTTGCTGAGGAATTTCCGATTGCAATCGTGTTCGCCGCCACCCCAGGGTAGACCATCCTGATGGAGGTCAATGAACTCGTATTTCAGCTTAAAATCCAGGGGTCTGAAAGGTATTATATTGAAGTCACTATAGGTTATTAGAAAGGGTTCATAGTAAACCTACCTAAGGGCTGTGGATTCCGTGTTGCGTAGCTCCAAGGTGATGGCATCACTGCTGGAGACATAGCTCTCGGAAATGGTGCAGGGTCGGGCGTAGGTCTCATTAATGTTGGATCTATCACAGGTCCTGGGAATGGTGCCCCGACAGAAGCGGGCGATGACATTGGTGGTATTTTGGGTGGCATAGTGTCCTAAGCTGCTGTAGCTTGTAGTTTCAGTGGCACTATAATGAAATACATAGATTTAAAGGACATTTATGAAGTATAATTCCAAGGAAAACCCACCAATTCAAATCCTTGCAAACAGGAGCATCCCTGAGTGTTCCATCCCAAATGCGTAGCATACCGCTGCAATCCTCCTGGGTCTGCAGCACTCCAATAGCCCCTACCGAGGTCTCATCGATATTCCCGAATTCGGGATCCAGATTGAACTTTAAAACGGATATCCAGACCTTGAACCGGGACAGGGGTTGATGCATTCCCGACTGACTGCTCGTCCGGCGGGATAGACTCAAGTGGTCAAAGGTCTTAAAGACCCCAAGACCCTGCAGATGGTACAAGCAGGTGGAGTTGGGAGCCAGCGAGTGCTTGGGGTTCTCCAGAATGCCACGACCTGCTCCACGAATCCAAAACTCGCACGGTTTCTTGTTTTTCGAGTAAGTGGGACTCTGAATGTCGACGAATTGAACCTCCACCTGGAATTTTCAGAGGAAAATAAACATAACGGAGTGATTAAAACTCAGGGAGTACTCACCTCCAGCTGGAATCCGTAGAGGGGCAGCACCTGGGAGGAGGTGCCGGTAAAGGTGCCAAACGGGGACGTGCTGAACTCGACCAGAAGCTCCGGGCCACTTGAAACCGCCGCCGGCACGGCCTGACCGCCGCCGCAGAACTTCAATATGATGGGGTCACGTGTGGTGTAGCCGTCGTACACGGTCACGTAGTCCTGCGGGTTATGGAGCCGAGCGAGAGGGTGACCCACGGAAAGAGAGAAAAGAGAGTGGGGAGAAAGAGCAGAGTGGATGAGGAGAGAACGAAATGAGTGAGACGAGCGACAAATGTGGGTGGTGGTTGTTGATTTCACCATGTGGGTGCCACTAGCTACACAGTGAGAAACATCTAGCTAACTTTAACTAGTTTTATAATAATTATATAAAGTTTGCATTTTATAAAGTAAACTTTAAGAATCAAGCCTTTAGTCATTATTTTAATGTCTTAATATATTGCAATTTATAACTATGTATTTTATTTGTTATATGTATATATTTATTCATAGAAGAATTTATATTTCATATTTTAGTCTAGTAATGAGAGAAAACTATTTTTTCAAGTGTAGTAATTGAAGCTGAAGGCCGAGTATGGCCAGAAAATGGTGGGCGTGGCTAGGGGGGACTGTGTCGAACCGAACCAAGTGCAAAAGAACGGTAATTGCTGTAAAGAAGTGGACCCAAAGTGCAGCTGGCAACACTGCTCTCATATTACTTAATGGCCACTGGACGTATACGTGATTTTTGGTTACATTCCGCTTCCAAGGACCAAAAGTAATGCTGCGGTGTATTAGGACTTTAAGGATGGTGGCAAGGGCAAGTGGCAAGTGGCAAGTAGCCTGGAGCAGGTCCAAGTTGTTCAGCACAATGGCTTTGATGTGTCCGGGCCACTTCATGTCCACTAAATGTCGAACATTTTAAGCTCATTGTAAGTTGGTTCGAAATGTTTATGCCATGTACGTTTTATGTTTTCAAAATATCAGGGTCTAAGGCTATGTTTTTCGTTTTATTAAGTGAGAGTCTAAACTTTCTGAAGGATTTGTGGATATTTATAAATAGACTAACTTTCTAAAGGCCATAATTGGGGGCTTATTTAGTTGAAAAACTTTGTAAAAGAAAATATTAGAGAATTAAATTAAATTATAAGATGAATTAACAAATTATAAGATTGTTTAGTTTATAATAAAAATATCTTGTTTAAAAACATTTGTATTTGTAGTATTTGTTTGTCTTTGTTTTTATTTCTTACAAAAGGCTTTAGTTATTTTAAGAATTTATTAAAAAACCCCAACATTCTCCACGCATAAACCTCACTAACTAATTTATTTGCGGTTGATGCTGGCGTTGGAATTTTGTGCATAATTGTGCGAATTTTAATTGAGTTGGCCTTGCCGTAGGTGCGAGATGTGATTGTGTATTCAGGGGGTAATGGCACTGGGATTTCCTGGCTCTGGCCCTGGCACTGGCACTGGCACTGGATGTGAGGGGACCTGTCCATGGGCGTTTCCTACCTTTCGGCCAAAACGCATGACAAATTAGTTTTGTGGCCAGCGACTTTTTGCATTAATTTAGCTGAGGTTTCTGTTTCCTGGGTGTCCTTGTTTGTGCACCTGGCCGCAAATTTAAACTATGCCCGAGACCGCAGACCAGATTCCGGAGCCCAGTGGAGTACGTGAAAGGTGGCCCAGGTAATTTGTGACCACAAATTTATTGAAAGCGCCGCGTTTGTACAAATTAATGCGGACACAGATGAGGGGACTTATATAAGTTGGGGGTGTCCTTGTTTTTTGCTCCCTTTTATTTGGGGCAGTAAATATTAGCAGGGGTGTAGTTACTTTACAGAGAAAGAATTCGAGGCTGCATAAGTTGTGATTTTTTGGGTCTGAATAGTTTTATTTCTTTCTGTGTAGAAACAAAATCTCATGCAACTACCATACAACGATTATTCACACATGCCGCACCGAAATGGCCAGCACTTTTGGACATTTTGGCTTAAGAGCGCGACAAAAAGTGGTGCAAAAAAGTGGTAGTCCGAGGGAAATGGCCAAGAGCTGGACAATTTGTAGGCAGAGTGCAGAGGCCTGCAGGATCCTGCAATCCTGCAAATGGCGCTAACGGCCGAGCGGATTGCTTTCCGACTGAATAAGCAAAAAGTAAAGGGGTTACGGCTTGGAAGCCAGAACGGTTTAGAGGTTCAGAGGGGTCTGAGGTCCGGGTCTGGCCAAGGGATTTGCACGCCTTGCTGCCACAACGAGCATTTAATGGCAACTGCCGAGGGTGGTTATCCTGGCTGGAGGATTTTGTTGTGAAGCGAAATTGAATAGTTGCTGATGACTAAATGGGCAACTAAAAGCAACATTCCTCGACACGGAAATCCTCAAAACGTTTTAGTGAGGATTCTCTATCCCCTCCTTTCAGGATATGGGGGCTGGAATGTCTTTGACCGCTACAGCGGATCGGATCAGCTTAGGGGACCTCTTTCAATGGCTCCCGGAAGTGGCAAATCCATCAGGAGTGGCATCCTCTCATTCACTGAGACTGTCCCGGGCTTTTGTATGATGAATGCCTGTGGCAATTATTTACATGAGACCCAAGCACGTTCGTCCACTAATGTCCTTGATGTCCTCGCTCCCGGTTAGCCCCGCTGTCTTTGTGTGCGATTTATGATGTGCGTGCCAAGTGTTCATTAATATAAATCCAATGACAGATTTTTTTTTCTTCCTACTCCTCTAACATGTCTGTGTGAGTGTGTGTGTGTTAATGAATATATTATCCTGTCCATTGATATGCCATAGATGTCGATTTACCCAGATCATTTTGATTTGTTTGCTTAGAGGGGGTTGTGCATACATTTAACTTGATTAATTGTTTCGAACATTGAAAGATATATATAATATATCAAATAATTGTTGCTAATACTAGAGAGAGAGAGAAGGATAAAGCCAAAGATAGAGATAGATAGAGAGGGAGTGTAATGGGGGGGTGGTTCAAAGTGCTCTTCTATATAAAATATCTACTTCTATAATTGATTTGTGGCAATATGAGTTTGAATCGCACTGATTTGAACTGAATTCTTGATTATTTGTATTACCGTGGATTTCCATTTGGGCTTTACATTTTCCTAGAATATACATATACAGATGTTTAAGTACTTGAGCGTTTACCATAGTCTAGTTTTTAGTGCATTTCAAGAAATTAAGTGTGTTTTCCAAAAGAGAAAATTTTTGCAAAGGGAGTGAGATTATAATCTAAACAAAAAGTAATTAAGCTCCCTCTGTTTTATGTTTGAGAAATAGTCTATTTTTTCCCCTATTTAACATCATTAAGGTGCCATCATTAAATTGTGCTCCTTGAGCCTCAACCATATCATTTTTCCCCCGGCCTTTTTCCACTTTTCATATCCCAGCTCCTCCGGCTTATCCCCCATTTATGCACCATTCTCTGCATACACGTCGCTCATTAAGAGCTCATCCGAAAGTTGCCCCTTTTAAGTTGGTGGGGACTTTATAGAGTCCGGATCCTGCTTCCCGATGACAAACAAAAAGGAGGCTACGAAATTAACACTTCCTGCCAACTGGCCGGCTGGCCAACTGGCCAAGAGCGTGGAGCTTCGCCAGCCTATCGAGCCAGCCTGGAGGACTTTGTCCTGGAACTCGGACATGGACACGCACACAATGCCGGGGCAATGACAGTGGAAAATAAGGGGGAAAAATTATAGGGTTGGGGTTTGAGGGGCAGCCCCCGTGCAAACAACTGATTTCAGATTTTTGCTCATTTCTTTTTCAATTTGTCGTTTTTTGCGCAGTTACTCTGCCTCCTCCCCCTCACACAAAAAAAAAAAAAAAAAAAAAATAGGTCCTGCCGGCCAACAGAGGAAGTAATTTTTATGCTGGATCTCTCTCGTTAAAGTTGGCAAATGCAAACACACTGGCCTGTCCAGCTCTGGGGCCCAGAGACAGACAGATACAAGCGGATACAAAGACAGATGCAGATACAGATACAGATACAAAGTACAGATACAGATACACAGTCAGAGATAAAAAGTTAAGGATAGAGAAGGGGATAGGAAGTGCATTTAAAGGCAAAGATTTAATTACCTGAATGTAATCGCAGTCATTCCATGTTTTTAGCCTCGGTTCGAATTTCTTATCCTTGTCGCTGGCACTGGGCGGCGGGGCCATTTTGTTAGCCGTGGCCGTTTCCTGGGTGGAGATCCAGACCAGATTGCCCTTGGGCTGCTTGACTAGAATCAGGGCGTGCTTTCCGTGGGGCACGTCGTGCTGTGTGGACAGGAGAATTAAATGCAAATTAATGAGCCGCAGAGCACAGTGAGCGCCAAGAAATGTTTTCTTTGACAATACCCGGGGTTCCCGGGTACACAGCCCTCCCCCAGAATAAAAATGGAAATGGAAATACAACTGGGAAGTAGGAGGATTAATTGAAGCATTTAAATTACAAAACTCAATGGCGTTTTCTGGGCGGGCTTCCAGCTGGTGATTGATCTTTGTGTTTTACATTGTATTTCCATTTATTTTGTTTTGATTCTATTTGCTTTCAAAGGGAATGCGAATTTATTCAATGAATTTCTATTTACGGACTCCAAACAAAAAGTACTTTCTCTTTTTTTTTTAGCAATTAAGTGTTCTATTTTTTATCCAATTCGTGTGCGTTTTTATTCAAAAGCTTACAACAATCTAATATTCTATATAAGGACATCCTCAGCATGTAGCATCCCAGCAGACATATTAAAAATTCCAGTGAGGATGGGTCCTCCAGTTAATTATAATAAAAGCTCATTCTATTTTGGAATGTAAATTGCTGTTTAATTTTTTTCCCTCTTGATTTTTTGAACTTTGTTGTGGCATCATGAATGAAATTAGGGCCCAACATTTTACGCAATTCTGTGTATTTTTATGAGTCAGGCGCCCAGGATAACGTGGATGAAATGTTGCCAAGGCTCCGGGTGTGTAACCTTTCTCGGGGTATCCCGGTACGGCTTGTTAGCCAGGACATTAGACTCGAAGGCAGGAGTTTAATTTCGTTTTAATTGTTCTCTAGCTCACCTGTCGCACTGCGTAGTAGCAGGTGAGGTTGCGGGGGTAGATGCCCGGGAAGTTGGGCGACTGCAGGCGACAGGCCTTCTTGTCGCAGTCGCTGAAGATCCTGGAGCAGTAGGTCCCCGGAATAAGGTCACCTGCGAATCAGACAAACAGATGTGACATTCGCAAATGGTACTTAATGAGTTGTTAAGAGTTCTGGAGGCAACACTCACCCAGGTAGTATTTTGGCTCAGTGTAGTTCTGCTCGTCCTTCGCCAGCGACTTCTCCAGCGAGTCCATGAAGGTCTTGTTGTTGGCATACGCACTGAACAGGCTAAAGTCCTGTCCGTACCGATCCGAGCGAGCGCCACTCGAGTTGGTGAAGTCCTCCAGGCTGCCCCCGGCCTGCTGCTGTTGCTGCTGCTGGCTGAGAAAGCTGCTGCGATTATGCCACTGGGCGAGCTCTGGAAAATAAGTTGAAAGGATTAGGACTCTTCCCCATCCCCGTTTTCATTCGGGGTTCAATTTCTGCGGCGGCACGCACCTGCCAGCTTAATGCCACCGTATCGGGTCACCGAACTGTCCCTGGACAGGACCTTGTATCTGATGCGAAAGTCAAAGTTGTAGCCGCTCTGGTCCCTGGCCAGTCTGTGGGGAAAATCATGGTTGAATGGTGTTTGGGGTTGAATATTACATGTCGGGGTCAGTTAATCGACCCGAAGTACGCACCTGTTCAGCCGGATGGTAAAGATGAGGGAGCGGGTTTCGCTGTAGAAGAGCACCGGGCCCCAGGATGTGCCGCACCACATGCCGCCGATGGGTGTCCTGGCCGATTCCGCAATCTGCATGTATCCGTCCGGACAGCCCTCGTGCACGTACGAGGTAAACCTGCCAATCGTGAAGCTGTCCAGCGTGACCTAAGGGAGTTAGAAGGATATGACGGTAACATTTTAACAATTATTTGCTTATTTCTTTAATTTATTTATGAGGCAACTGTGTCCTTAATACATTATATGTTTCAATTACTTGGGACCAATTCCCTTTTATTAAATATCTTGGAAACTATGGCTTCCCAGCATAGTCTGGTAATATGGTTACTTTCTCCAACAATCTAGTATAATTTTGTGCTCTAAGAGTAACGAGGACATAAAGTATTTGCCGGATGAGCCGGGAAAAGCAAGAAGGGAGTCGGTAATAAAGTTTCGGTCAGTGGGCATGGTATCAGTGCAGAATGCTTTTGGGAGGCACTCGAGCATGCCAAAGGCTTTGGCCTTCTTCCCCCTTCTGCCTGCTATTGCCTCCTACTCTGGCTACTGCCTCCTCCCTTTGGCTACTGCCTCCTCCTGATACTTTCCCCCATTGGCTTCTGCCACATCCCAATTGGAGGTGCGAAGTGGCGTAATAACTAACAGGCACTGGCACTTGCTTCCCGGTTTGCCAAAACTGGGTGGTGGTGGTGTAGACTCGGTGTAGGATTTGTTACGCCCCAGCGAGTGGCTTTGAAATCAATATTGCCAGTGCCGCCCAAAAAGGACACCACCCACAGGCCACCCAGTTTCTTTGTTGTTGCTTATCTTTTAATGGCGTAGTTTATCCCGTTTACAAAATAAAATGTGAAAGGCAGTATCAGTGGCAGAAGGGGGCTTTCTAGATTACAAGATGCAGAGAGAAAATAGTAGAGACTTTATACTCGAAAGCCTAGTAGCCTAGAAGCTTTCCTCTCAGTATACTTTTCTCAGTGTAGTTCAAAGTGCAAACCCCTTCCTTGACTCACCTGCACCACATCTCCGTGCTGGCCTCCTGCCGCCGTAAACGTGAGCACACACACAAAGGGCACACGATCCTGCTTGGGACGATGCAACTCCAAGGCGTAGGTCTGTCCGATGTCCCCGTAGTAGGTGCGATTACAACCTGAAAATAAATGTATATATATCTATATAGTTCATGGTATATATATATAATGCAATTAGCGTTAGTTTGGCAATTAGTTTGTTTGGGGCGCGCTGCCAGGCAACAGTGGAAATGGGATTCCCCGCAAAAGGCTCATCGCCCTGGGAAATGGCAATTGTCACGCCATAAATCATCGCCATACTGCCAGGCAGACTGTGAGGCAGATGCTCCGACAAAGTGGCAGAGTAACAAATTAACAAAACATTTACTTCATATGCAAACTGATTGTACGCAAAGTAGATTAATCCATTAAGGTGAGTGATTGGTGGTGCTTTCCCTTTAATGTCTTGTCATTTTTCTCGTGGCTGGAGAAGTTGAGCATGGTGGCAATTTAATTTGTTCTAAAATGTAATTAAATATTTCCAAGAAGAGTCTTAATAAGTGATAATTATTGCCACGTGTTGGAGTTTATGATTTTCCATTGAAAGATATTACTCCACTTACTTATTTCATTTTTCTTTTAGTCTTATTAAATGGACCATTTTTATATCTTTTAAGATTGAATATTTTATTCTACAACTACACAAATATCTTGTTTACTTTTGGCTTCTAAATAAATCAAGAAAACCATCTGAGGAGTATCCTTATCTTCCCTCCTTTCACTCGATTATGTATTCCGATTTGGAATTCCTTTTCATAATTGAATGACCACAAACTAGAATGATTTATGCTTGTGAGATTTGCATATATGGTATTATGTCCTGCCTTTTTGTCTTTCTGTTCCCCAATATAGACTGAGTATCCTGGCATTTGCATGGAAATTGCCAATTTCTTATGCGATCCTGGGGAATCCTCTTCTCTCTTTCCCTTTCATTTCAATTAGTTTTATTAAAAATGCATATGAATCGAAAGTCAGGCGGCCTCTGGGCAAAATCCGAATTTATGGCTTAAGTGTTGGTAGTTAGTGGCTACCGCTCTAATTGCTTTCCGCCCTCTGCATTCAATCAAATTTATTATGCGCTCAGCCATCAATAGTCAATTAGATAATTATGGCAATAGTTTGATTGCATTCGAGTGGGCGAGGGGATTCATTCAACAGTTCCAGCTCTAGGCGTAATTCCAATTCGATTGCCTGTCTGTTTCGTTTATCCGGCTGCCATTCTGCCGGGCTTGTTGTGGGCGTTTCGATTTGCGGGGGCGTGGCCGTAATTGCCACAGCCATAATAACAAATTATAAGCTTTCAAGCTTTGATCGTTCAATTACAGTTTTTACACGACGGCTAAATATCAACGGAATACTGTTTTTTGAAGACATTACAATTTAAATTATTCATTTTTTTTCCAAGGGGTACCCCCACAAAATTCTGGGTTTTCGAAATTTCCCCACTTTTGATGCTTCCGATGGCCATAGCTCTGCCAATTTGTATCCGATCAGGAAATAAAGTGCCATTTTGTAATCAGCGAACCCAGAAGCGACTTTTCTCATTCAAAACCATGCTTAAATACCATTTTGAAATTTTTCGAATTTTTTCCAAGGGGTAGTCTCACAAAATTGTGGGTTTTCGTAACTTCCCCACTTTTGCTCCTTCCGATGGCCATAGCTCTGCCAATTTGTATCCGATCAGGAAATAAAGTACCATTTTGTAATCAGCGAACCCAGAAGCGACTTTCGTTATTCAAAACCATGCTTAAATACCATTTTGAAATTTTTCGAATTTTTTCCAAGGGGTACCCTCACAAAATTGTGGGTTCGCCTAGTTTCGATGGGCATAGCTCTGAAAATTTGTTTGCTGTAAGAAAAAAAAACAAATAACAAAATGAACAATAAAAAACTACAAGAACCAAAACTTACAACACCACTAACAATAAAATTTAAAAAAACAAAATCAAAAAAAAAAAAAAAAATAAGAATTTTCGGATTTTTTGTCCTGCTTAAGTGCTGGCTATGAGAATCGAGGAGGAGGGCACTATTTTTTTATTATTTTATTTTTTTTTAAATAAAATTTTTTTTAATAATAATAGCGTCTTTCCAAATGTTTCTTAATAAAAAAAAACGCAAGGCCTCATCCTCCTGGAAGGCTGGTTGTTCAATTAAAAAACCCAAAGAGTCCCCCACCCTCCTGAACCCGCCCATATCATGGGATGTCATTGAAAAATACTTAATTAAATTCATCACCGCTTGACATGACGCGCCCAGGAGCAGAATCAGAAACAGAAACTTGAGGCTGGGAGGCTGTGGAGAAAGCTGGCAGCCAATTGGCAAAAGTGAGAAGTTCACTTTGCCGCCATTATGGGGGGATGGCCAAAAGGGGGTCGAATCCTATAAGGATAGTATGGAAAGGGGTTTGAAATGGAAAATCCGTGTGTGGGCGATGGGGGGAGTGCTTAATTACATTTACACATGAAGGCCGTGTTTACAAGGGCGGCCACTGAATGCCGCCCAGGTTTTGCAACGGAGGGAGTTGATTGCCGGACGGTTATGGAGTTTGACAAGCTTGATTGCTTCCAGGCGGAGCAGGATTCCATGGGGATTTACTTCTGGCCACCTCACCAAGCTCAACGCCAACGCAGCACTGGAAATTTTCAGCGCACTATCATTGTATACTCTAAAGAAAAATATGAAAGCTTGTACAACACTGCGTATACGTAATGTGTTCATGGTGAAGATGGTTTTCTCAGTCCATTAGTTTGCTGTTGTTTTTATGGCAAATTACTTGTTATAGGGAATATAGCTTTTCATTACCATTTCTTTTCCCTTTTGTTGGCGGCCATCAATCGGCCAGCAAATTGGGCAAACAAGGCTCTTACTGGCCTGGCCATTTGGTTGTTTCTCATTATTTTTCGCTTTACATAATTGCCTTCGACACATTGTTTTCGAGGCCGTGCTCCATTACCGAGCACTCCTCGGTTTTGTTACACTGATAAAAAAGATGCCAGTTATTCTTCAGTAGAAAATATTGTTTGAAAAATGTTCGAGAGGGTCATCTTTTAAAAATTTTAAGAATTCATGGAAGCGAAAATATGGCCCACATCGATGACTACATCTTTGACAATAGTCTTTCAACTCTTAAGCGGAACGCCTTAAACGATTTGTAGATGGAGTTTCTTTAAGACTTTATTCAAATAGGGCGTTTTTTGATTTTTCGAGTGTTACTTACGTGTGCAAAATCGCGGCTCATCGCTGCCGTCGCCGCAGTCGTTGGCGTTATTGCAGTACTTGCTGAGCGGTACACACCGCCCATTGGAGCAGCTGAACTCGGCGAGGGAGCAGCCGGCAGGAGCGGAGTTGGGAGCCATTTGCAAATTGGCAGGTTTGCCCAGTCCGGACGATGGGGAGGAGAAGGAGCCAGCTGTTGCCCCGGATCCGGCTCCGGATCCGGTACCTGCCCCCGAGCCTGCTGCTGCCACCGCTGTGGCAGCCAGGCCCAAACTGAGGCCCAAACAGAGCAGCAGCGTAAGGGTTGACGTCGAGGTCGACGCTAGCGCCGGAAGTGGATGTCGCCGCTGATGTATCTGTTGCAGTTGTTGTTTCTGTTGCTGCTGGTGTTGCAACCAGCTGGAAGTCATTGTGGATGCTGCTGCTCTTCCTGTTGCTTTAATTGCGTGACATTGTGTTGGATGTGTCTTTTGCAGAACTTGCAACATTTTTGCGACGTTTCGTTGTCGCTCATTTGGCAGCCATTTTGTGTGTTGTTGCTTCTTCTGTTTGCTTCCCGTTTCTCTCAGTCTGCTGTTTAATGTTGCTTTTGTTGTTGCAGTTGTTGGTGTTGCTGGGGCAGTGTTTGTTGCAAGTATTCGTTGTTTCAGTTTCTTTGGCCTTTTTCTGCTTTTGTATTTCTGTCGCCATTTCAATGTCATTACTGTTGTGCCTGAAAAATAGAACAAAAAAAAAACTTTATTTATGTTTTGGTTTTTAATTAAAACTTAAAACTCTTTTGTTTAAAAAATTAACATTTATGTTGCAGCAACACCTAATTGTATTGCACTTTGGATTAATTACAGGTCGTTGTTTGCACAACTTCTTAGTTGAGAAATTTTAATTGATTGTTTTACATTTTTCCATAATTTGAAATATAATCAGTCCCCCCAATATTTGTCTTTTTTTTGCCTCGTATCATTTGCACATAAATTGAAAATTATTCACCACATTTTAATTAAATTAGGGTCAATAAAAATCTACATAATTGATTCCGAAAGTCTGGTGATTAATAATTGGTCGGGACGTATCTGAGTCTTTTTTTTTTTGGAAAAAATTTCAGAAATTATTTAAAATTCAAATGCCAGGAGCAAACAAGTTTCAACAAGCCTCGCTGGCCGATTACACGCCAAATTTATGGCCAAATATTTATAGGCCCGAATATACTCGAACATTGCGAATAAATATTCGCTTCAACCATTGAAAATCATAAATATTTGCTGCGCAAACAATTTTCCTACATGTTTTTGTTTTCATTTTTCTTCTCCTTTTTTTATATATAGTTTTTTACATATATTTTTTTGTTATTTTTTCGAGTTTCTCTGCGACTTACTCGCATATTTTTCACGCCGCGCTAAGGACGAATTTTCACGCGCGTTGCACATTATGGAAAGTTACGAGGATTCTTTTTCGGTTTTTTGGTTGAGCTTGCTGAGCGTGTAACGGTTTCATTTTGTCCTTGTTTTTCGGCTTTTTCTCCACTATTTTTTTTTATTTTTATTTTTTTTTTTGCCTGGACGAGAGTATTTCTCGATCCACTCTACACAATGGATATATGCATGGTGGTCTGGCGCTCCAGCCAGCCAGTCAGCCATCCAGAGACGATGTCGGTCGGAATTGATTAATGTGTTTTTTGTGCAACGTAGCTTGGCAAAACGCAAGGGGGCATGAGGCGACTGTAACGGGGAGTCTGTCGATTGCAGCTTTCCAGTGATAACGATGAGTAGAAAAACAACAGCACCCAAGCACCCAGGCACCCGCCTCGGTCTGCTGCCCCACCTCTGCAAATGATTTATGAATGTTGTTTGGGGCCTTGCAACGCATGACCCCAAAACACTGCCCAACAACACAAGTCCGCAAGTCAATGAGTGCCAGTGGGAAATTATAGCATGTGGCCAGCGACAGGGAAAATCGCAGAAAACCACGCGCTTGCAACAAAACCAGAAACAACCAACAACAGAAAAAAAAAATTCAAAAAAGGGCAGTTGCATAATTTTAAATTAGACGCTCAGACACGGAGCAGACATGCAGACCACAAGTAACCTAAACGGAAGCTGCCATGGAATGCACTGGGAAAAATACAGGCTGTTTTTAACTTTTATAAAGAATATAAATTAAAGAAATTATAGGTACTTAAAATATTTTGTTAGGGAAGGATTAAAAAGCTCATCAAAAGCTGAGTGATACTTTACTTTATACTACTTTAAACTTCTTATTTCCATTCTGAAAAACACTGAAATTGGTTGAAATTTTCGTAAAATATAGACCCAGTAGACCCACTAAAAAAACTAAAATTTTGAAGAAATAACAAAAATATTAAAAATTTTTCGATGAGTGGAAAAATAAATGGCAATGAGTAATCTAAGGGATGAGGAAAATATTCAGAGACAGCGGCGTCAGCAGACAGTAGTTGACGCGGGAAACGAGATGGAAACTGATGCTGATCCTGAAGATTTTTTTTTATCCAGCTACCTTGTTGTACCAAAGAACACGAAAATCACCATAAACTATAATGCACAGAGTTTTTAGAAAAAAAAAACTTCACCAAAACATGCAAAAAATTTTTGGGAAACTCAGGCACAAGGGCACTCAAGTCAGTTACAAGCGAATAAATATTGTGCAACCTAAATTAAGTTTAAAACAATTTGTAGAAATTATTTGGCTTACAAGTTGAATAAATTTAGTAAGTCCTTTGTTTATTTTCATTATAAAAATTGTTTTTATTTTAGCTCAAATACTAAAGAGCAACGAACTCTTGTCGATTAAAACCAAGTCTGGCTTAAAGACTCTTCAATTTTAACGACTCCTTGGACTTGTTATTTTTAAAGGACTTTCGGCGGTAGCCAATATGCCTGAAGCGATTGTGGCTCAGCCAGCATGTTGTTTTTACCATTTTTATGGCTCCAACCACTGCGCCACTCTGCGTCCCGATTTCCTCTGCATTTTGGCCATTACAACGTCTGGCGTCAGTGGAATTTGCCACAAATTCGTGCAGCGTAAAAATAAAATCCCCAGGGGACGGGCGGCATGGAAGGACGAACTGGACGCTGTCTGTCTAGTCGTGCATTAAATTGCTAATAAGTTTTAATGTGGCCAACTTTGTCTCGTCCAAATTTGCGCCAAAAGAAAAACATTTTCATTTAAATGGCTCCTCCTTAACTCAATGTCGAAAGCTATTCGCGTTGCGATTTTCTACGATCCGACAGCGTAAACAGTAGCTATTTTTTTGCGGAGGACTGGCTTATCAGGCTGGAGTCTCAGGCACGCTAGGATATAGCTATCGCCATATCTGTTTACGAGCCAGAAGATGGATATGGAGAGGCTGCCGCCTTAATGGAACTCAAAGGATGGCGGAGTGTGGATATCAGCTTTCCGCAAGTGCTATATAGGATGTGCGAAAACCACCCCTTCCAAGGTGACTTTGCTAACCCCTGAGAAAGGATATGTCAGTGTGAGTGTGGCAAACACATATGCAAAATAGTTGCACATAAAAAAAGCCAAAGGACTGGCACGGTTGTCACTTGTCGTTACTTCTGCCTCTGGGCTGGGATTGTCGGTAGTCATCATCGTCTTTATCGTCATTGCTCTGGCTTGGCCCCAGTTCTGTGGCAAACCGGATTGGAACTTGACTTATGATACACTGAGGGAAAGAATAAAGTTAGTATGATCTAGGTTACAGGTCTAAATAAGAAATATTTGGATTGGTACATCTAACGATTTCTTAAAGCCTTCTTGAAGGGCTTAATACAGTAATTTTCTTCAACAATTGAAGAATCCTTCTCCTTCAATATTCCTCCCTATTTCTCAGCAATATTCTTTAATAAAATTTTATTCTGTTTTTAGAATTATGATAGAAATTCAATTCTAGGTGTAGCTGCATGTCCTTCTCTTGAATTCCTGCTCTGTTCCTTGGCATTCTGGACCCAACAAAGTTTGTCCCAATGGCGCAGCGGAAAAGGAAGTGCACACAGAAACCCACCCACACCCACACACGCCTTAATTTGTGTGCGTGTGAGCTTAAATTTAGTTGCATACGCGAGGGCGTTTTGGCAGCTGCGGTTCAATTCCTGCATTGAATGTCGACGCTGGCTCTGACGCCTCATTAGCGTTGCGATTTGCTGCCAAAATGCCAAATGATAATTGCAGCAATTTGGCACCAAAAATTAAGCGACACAAATTGTATCTCTCGCACAACTTGAAAAGTTCCTCGAAGCAAATTGGAAGAAGTGGAGAGTCGTTTTACGGGGCATGTTCCATGTGGGTTATGTGGGCGGAGGGGATAGGAATAGTAAACCCCAAAAAGTCGCACGACTTGGCAATGCGGCTAAATTGTAACGAGCTAAACGGGGTCTCATACGAGTTTGAATTCCCAAGTTGCTCCTTTCGAGCAAAGAAGTCAAATTTCTTTCGGGCACGTCAAACTCATGCCTTCGTCATCAAAGTTTTCCATCCAAAGGATGAAATTTCCTCACACACTCACTAATGTGTTTCATTCACATATATACATATAGAGAGAGAGCGCGTCAAAGTTATTTATACACCAAAGCTACGTCCTGGAAATGGAAAAAAGGCCTCCTGTCACATATTCAGTTATTCCTTTCCGCTGTTGTCTGTTTGCCACATTTGGCAAAGGACTTTCACTAAGCCGCTTAGCGTCACTGAGGCGTCATGCCAAAGGCTGCAGATCCTGCAGCATCCTGGCCGGAGGATGCTTTCGTTTGCGGGCGTGCCTCTTTACTTAACAGGGCTAATGAAACTTGAGTGTTTGAAGCCATCGTTTCTTTTGGCAAACAACTTTGTTTGCTCGAGAGCAAATCCTATTGAATAAGTGCTGGGATTTGATTGTTTTAATATCCTTTTTTTTGGCGAACATCAGGCATTTACATCAACAGTTTTAAGCAGAAAGTTTTGTGATTAAGTGTTATTTACAAGATTTCTCTTTAATTTACTTTTAAAAGAATTAAGAGGTATTTTTCTGCCAGGACACTCCATGGTAAGTCATCATTTTAGCACATGTTCTTAAATTAAGTTAATTTTTATGGACATTTAAGAAGTCAGAATTTAATTACTGAAACATCATGCAACACTTGAAGCCGTCACGGGGATTTTTGGTCAAAATTGATGGCGCTTTCCTTTCAACTGTCAGACGGCAATAAAAACGCGAGCACATCCTTTCCCACACCCAACACCCACTCTCGAATCGATTCGGTGGCATTCCATTGTTTAGCCTTTGATTGTCATTCACTCGGCGCGGCGTTAAAGTGTATTTTAATTTGATTTCATTGTTCGCTGTCATTTGCCGTCATTTGATGGCCGGAATGAATATGAATTGAATTGGCGCTTGGACGGGTGGCCGGGCCTGATAGAGTTTCTGAAAACTCAACTCGTGCTCTCCTATTCTGCTTTTTTTTTGTGTGCTGGGAGCTCCAATGACACTCGTTTCATTGCGTTTCAACAATTCGATTAGCACCGAAAATTCCAAAGAGCTGGCAGGGCTTGAAACGACACGGCTTTTTAATTAGTTTTTAGTTTTGGGATCGGGGCCGAGTTGGGCGGGCTGAGTTGGCCCAAATGAAATGGAATGGCTAATTAATATGACAGGCACAGATCACTGCAGAGTGGCCAGAAATTTGAATTCCATTTGAGAGTTTCAGACAGATTCTATTGTCATTTGAGGGGTTTTTGGGCAAACTACCTAATGAGCCGCATGTGGCATGAATAATTCGGTTCGATGGCCCAAAAGTGACAGGCAGAAAATTCCATTTAATATTTCATTTACCACCGCAACAGCACCGCATCACACTCAATAATGCAGGGACTAGATATACTAGAACCATACTGACAAAAAAGTAATATTTTTTTCCAAAAATATGAATGTTATTTATAAAAGATCAAATCAAACATTGCTGGGATTTTTAATTAAAATTGTAGCCAGTGCAGGAGGTATAGTTGAAATATCAAGCATACGCCGTGTTGTCATACTTCAATTTTGATGATTTGATTTGAAATATTTCCATTTTCCCGGCATGACGAGCATATATTGAAATTTTGGCGAATTTGGCCAAAAGCTTCGATTGAAATGCGTTTAAAGCGATTGGAGTGTTTGCGGCGCCTTTTACATATGTCATTAATTTTAATGCCTCGAACAAGGATATGCATATGATGGCTGCTGCCTATCGCCTGTCAACTCAGCCTCGTCCTTCATCGTCATCCTTCGCCTGATTCAACTTTATGCCATCGTTGTCGTTGCCGATGTTGTTGTTATTATTATTTTGTGAAGCAAATATCTAGAATGTGTGCGTTGATTCTTCGGGCGCATTGCATGAATTACTTTTGCCTTTGTTAAGAGCATACACAATGGCCTAAACTGATGACGGCCAGGAGGGGATGAGATGAAGGGAGTGATGAGGCAAGCCTGACGCTGATGCTGTGCTGTGCGTGCCAAGGATTTGTAAGCTGTGAAACATTCAAGGATGCGCGACCCACATATAATGTACACAGAAAATAATATGTGTCATAAGTTTAATTTTCTTGTTTAGTTAGACAACGATTTTTGCCTTTCAAATATTGTTTAAATTTAGTATTCCC